GTGTAGTTCAGTGGTTGTCAAACCTCGGGCCTGACCCCTCATGGGGGGTATAGAGGCATTGCAGGGGGCGAAAAAAAGGTTGGAAAGTGGAATATACCAGCTTGATGCAGCAAATATATAATCCAACAAGAGTGCTTTCTCTCTTTCCATCAAGATTCAGGATGCAGACAGCAAAATGAAATACAAGAGACAGTGAACACAGTTTTGACAGGTAAAAGAAAAACAGGTGATGCTTATCAAGAATACACATCAGTCAAAATTGAAGTGTCTCTTGCTGTCAGTGTAACAGAAAAGCCTTGTGTCTTTAATGCCTGAAACATGATGATGTTATTTTAGTCTTTTTTTGTGGATAATCATTGTCAATGGTTGACAGAAATTAAACTGGATTTGAGAACGCCAAACTATTTCCTCAGTAGGCAGTGACTTTCTCGTTTATCTCTTTGGAGTCCTTCACTGTCACACATCTGTGCTCTCTTTACACAAACACAAACACAAACATTCCTTGTATAACCCACAGCAGCACAGTGGCTCAGTTTCTGTAGCAGCTGGTGGGCACAAACAGTTACATCACACTCCATCCACACAGCCAGTTGTGCCGCCACCCGGCCTAGGCAATGCACTCATACAAGTGTGTTTTGACAACCTGCTTTTAAACGTGAAGTAATCCATAGTGTCTTCTGTGTGTATAACACCGGGAAAGCGTTTGGGCTGTCCAAGGAGCTTCTCACAGCTCCTGTACCGGGCTGAACTGAGGTGCAAACACCCCAGAGGCACTGAGAGGAAAACAAAAGCGGACTCTTGCTGCAGTGTTTTTGCTAACGTCAAAATAAATCCAAGACAGCAAGAAGACTGGAAGGTATTTTAGACATTATAGATGCTCCACCTGAATGATCAATAAATGGAAACAGGATTGAAAATTGGCTTTCTGGCCTTCTTTAAAATGCAGCACTCTATCGGAAAAGTTTTAAATTAATTAAAGACATAATATGTAACATTTCCGCATTAAAAGGTCCATAAACACTAGAGCTATATTATATTTTTTGTTGAGTTGTGTACTTCCATTATCCCAAATGTTTCCAACAATGAGACCTCTGCACATAAATCGGCTGCTGTTAAAAAAGGAAGAAGGAATCCTAACGGGAGAAGCTGACGAGCATGATGGTGAAGACAAACACTACCTCACAGTCTCACCAAACTTCGTCTTTTGTTATTGCTTTGATATAAGAGACCCCCTAGTGGCAGAAATCACATATTGTACCTTTAATTCCAGGTAATATTATAGTGAATTATTTGTTTTAAAAATGATTCATATTTTCATATAGCTGAAACAAGGGTTTTCCATCTGCTTTTTACATCCCTGAGGTAGACACATCAAACTGACCCTAATGGACCAAATGTGGCATTAATCTTTAAAAAAATATTAGCAACCACTTTCTTAGTAGTAGGGCTTAAGCATCTCAAACGGCTATTAGTTAAACTATGCTTGTGGGTTAAGAAGAGGTTTATGCTTAAAGAAATAATTAAAGGCTGTTTCTTAATTGACTTGTCCTGCAGCCAATATGACATATATTAACTGACCTTATAGTCCTCTTCATAAATCAGTGGGCCCAATAATTTTACATTTAGATCACTCAGAGCTGAACTAATCAGTAATCTCATTTGAAAGTGGATTGGTTGCAGATCTTCAAAGAGAGGGCACTCGTGTCTGCACCACTGCTCGCACTGACTTGAGAATATGCTGCGTATAATAGAGCAAGGTTAATTAAGGTTAATTAATCCCATTTGGAGAATATGTATGGATAAATGTGGGACCCTGTATCAACCTGTCTTGATATATTAATTTTCTGTTGTCTGTTCGTTTGTTAAAAGCACATTTATGAATGCACTTGGACCTCAAAGCATCCTCAGTGTGCAAACTAAATGAAAAAAAATGTAATCATATGCAAAGAATACACACTTTAAATGTTTATTAGTGAAAATGGAACAAGATTAGTATAGTATCAACTGATTGTTTTCGACTATTTGAAGCTATTTAATTTAATGAGGTTGCTGTATAACTATAAATTGTAGTAACTGATTCATGTTTTCCTGCTATTTCCTTTGAAAATCAAACAGCTGTTCTTATATTAGCTCCAATAGGAACATATTTAACCTCCATGTCATGTGCGAATTACATGTAGCACTGCTAGGATGTACTTCATTAGTACAACCAATCCCAAAGCCGTAATGACCTGCTATTGTTTCCATCAATTGTGGAGGGAAATTAGTTCACTTCAACAGTACTTTTGTTGTTAAGGCCATACCAGGAATAGCTTTGTGATGTTCAGTGTTGGTGGGTGTGATGAATGAAAGGTAACCTGATTACCGCCGGAGATATTAAAATCCCTCATGTGTGACCTGCCATAGCAACCCTCTCTGCTTAGCAGCTGGGCTGCAGATTGCTGTTTGGCTCATATTAGTGGGTGTGTGTCACTATTGATTTCAACTCTTTTTTTTTTTCATAATGTTTTTAGCTCAGGCAGGACTTCCATTCATTATTTGGAGTGTACAATTACCAAAGCAGGGTACAGTAATAGTTCTCTGAATCTTTTCATTTTCTCACTCAACTGTGTCTCTTCCAGTATGCAATTATTTGGCAGGTAAAAGTGTATGTCATCTGTTACATGCAACATGCCTCACTGAATATGACTTTTTAAACCAGGAATTTGAAGCTCACGAATAATATAAAAACAAAGGAAGAGGCACTTCACTGAGCTGACAGCGATGTAAACAAAGGATGAGCTCCTGACACACTGGGAGGTAACCAATATGTTTCCATCCATTTGTTTTTGTGCACAGTTCAATTATCTGTGTGGGCTTTTTTTAACTGAGGGGAAATGCTGGGAATTTGAAATAAAAAATAAAAAAAAGATTATTACAAAACAGTTTTTTACGTTCGACTGAGGTGGGGGGAAAAAAAGTGTATCAGTAAAATTCCCATTTACATACACTTGCAATGGAAACAGACTCAGTGAATAAATCATGACGTACATGAAGCATGTGACCTATTTGTCTCTTGAGCTTCCACTGAAGAGACGAAAAACTGCAGCAGATGAAAATCAGATTAAGATCTGTGTGTTTTTTCAGTAATTGGTATCCTAAAATCCGGTTTATTGCTGTCTCAGCAGGCTCATTGGATCTATCATTAGGCTAATCATCATCAGTTTTTATAGTTTTTCACCAAAATATTCCCAGATGATCAGTTTAAACAGTTTTTTGTTCCCTAGGCTTTATGTCCCCACACATCCAAAATGAGTTGCTCCAAGAAGACACGGCCCACTGCTGTTTATAGTAAACAAGGTTGTCTGAAGAGAAAAAAAGACAGAAAATGAAAATGAAAAAAAATCAAACGATTAATTTTTAAAATATGATGAGCTTCACTTATTTTTTTTTGACCACTTTTCTGTAGGAAGATTGTGTGAAATGAGCGGTAGAGCAGACTATTTTTTGCAGATTATTTCCTCTGAATATTGTATTAGAGATGATCTTAGCTGATTTTTGTATAAACTTTTTATACAATTCTGTCTGTATTATGTATTTATTATTTTATTTAGGAATCATACACACTTAATAGGTTTCTTTTCTAACAAATTCAGTGTTTTCTTCTCTTTGTTCTCTTTGCTCTTTGTTTGTTTTAACTAACTACTTTTCTAATGCAGGACGAGACTGTTTAGCAGTAAGGGAAGGTTCTGTGAATATAGCTTGTGTTCAGCTCTTCAAACTTTAGATCTTAAGTCAAAATTACAATTCATTTTAGTTTTCTTCACAGAAATGAATGAAATGCTGAGATATAGGCCCACTGTATGTATTTTTGTATTTTTATGTATGTTTTCTTACACCCCTTTAAATCAAGAAGGCCGTGCAACCTCCTGTGAAGCTTTGACGAAACCTGATTAGGAACTACTGGTATAGAGGTTGGTTATTTGGCCACAAATAAACAGTAAAAGTCCCAAAGTGGAAAAGTGGGTGGACATGTACACAGTTAATATTTATCTTTTCATCTACATTCATATCTACATTAAAGCATCCAGCCTTCCAACACCAACCTAATATAGTGTATAAAGTTGACATTTAACTAATAACATCAAAATAAAGCTAAATAAATGCATGTAAATACAATGGATGACATTATCTAGACTACTAGTACTTTTGTTTGTTTTTGGATTTTGTACATTTTACTTTCCACGCATAATCTTTAATAGATTCAACCCAAAATTTGTTTTTCTTCTTCTTTTTAGCATTTATTTTACCTGGCGGCACTACTTTCAAAAGAATTCTCAACTTTTAAAACATGTTAACCAGTTATTTCTGCCGTCATCCTCCAAAAGTCCCCATTGGGAACCTTTAATTCACTCCTTTCTGATACTTGTGGCACAATCACAGTGAGTCTTGGATATCAACAATATATACAGACACACACTGGGGGTGATTTGGCCCGAGGCAAAGCCAAAGGCTGTTTACCTCTCAAAGAACTTTCAATCTTGAAAATGTCCCTATATAACACCAGCATAGACATAGAGAGGATAATTGTGTTGCTGTATTTGTATATCATTTGTTTGCGCGGGTGCTGCAGTGCTTCAGTAGTTTGCACTCACACACACTGTGGGTTTGAACCTTGGCCCTCTGAGTTTTACAAGAACTGTATTTGTCAGGGTTAAGCCTCAGTTTCTTCCCACACCGAAGAAATATAGGCCAGGAACTGTCTGGTGCTGTGTGAGTGTGTGGTGTGTTTATCAGTGTGAGCTCTATAATAAACTGCCGACCTGTGGTGAATGTTTCCCCGCCTGCTGCACGCTGCTTTAGGCTCCATAGGCTGTGACCTTGAATGGGAAGCAAGAAAAACAGTGCAGAGAGAAAAACAGTCATTTGTTCATGACAGCGCTTTCATGTGTTCAAGGATTAGATGTATCAGCCACTGACTTATGGGATTTTTTTACTTATTGACCTTTTTTATTTTCCAGACTTGGAGAACTTCAAGACTCACAGAAGAAGCTCGGTATCAGTCCGTGAAGGTCAAGGAGTGGTTCTGCTGTGTGGCCCACCCCCGCATTCTGGAGGTAAGGCAATACATTCATTCTCGTAATTTTAATGACCCAGTCAACCCAGTTGGAAAACACACCAGCAACTGGGGGCTGGCTGACAGAAAAACAAAAACTGGAATGAGATCATAATGTTTGAAATGTTTTCAGATGTTTCTATTCGCAGTTCGAAGCTCTTTGTGTTTTGTTGGGTTGTGCTGTTTAAGATCCAGCTGTTTCAATGACACCTTTGACTTGGTAATCAACACCTTACATCTGCCACTATGGGGGACTGAAAGATTTCTAAGTGATTCTTGCACTGCTCAGGCGTGATCAATCTTGGTTAGTCCATGGGAAGTGCGACAGCCTCCCTGTCAGGAGCCTACAGCTGAGTCTGCTTTGATTAGAGATTTATTTTTCTGCCTCATTTCAATGTCATCAATGTTTGTTCTCAAGCGAAAGGCAAACAGCCCCCTGGATAAATTAGTATAATAAGGTGCAAATAATCTGCTACTTTGCGTTCTTGCTTAGAGTTAGATGAGAAGATCAGTAATGTCATATCTGTACAAAATACTAAGCTATAGCCAGGATTAACTTGGCCTAGCAAAAAGACTGGACAGCAAGCCAGGCTCCATCCAGAGTTCGAAGTCACAGTGAAACGGACGTTAACTTCAGTAATGTGGAATATTTCCAAGTGAAATGGAATATGCGAGCAGGGTAAGGTTACGAGAGGGATTTAAAGGCACATGCAAGATTTGTACCTTAATATAACAGCTTCAAAGTCATTTCGATGGTAAACGAAGTCGTAGTATAGCGAATCATCCCGATAGGAACGCTGGGGAAGGATGGCGCTGGCAGAACCGGCAATGCAAGTCTGCCAAATGTCGCGAGAATCACAAATTGCTTTACGGCGCAACGTCACATACATCAGCGACATAAGAAGCAGCCTCAATGGAAGACGTTACCTGGTCAGTAGACATCTTCGGAGTCTATCTTTGCCTGTTCGATGTCCGACGCTTCCATCCTACTGAACATGTATCGGTATACAGGGGGGAGGGGATCAGGCCGTGAGTGCATAGTATGCCTTTAAATCCAATCTGGAGCGGTAGAGCAGACTATTTTTAATTTCACTGTGGCTTTGGAAAAAAAGTGTAAAAATGTGTTTTTACAGGGTTGCCAGTTCATTTATTTGCATGCCGGTACTAAGATTTTAAAGAATATATTTTTTTTAATTACTAAGGCAAATTTGAACTTGAAATTCAACCATATATTAACTGTTTAAAGTTTACAAAATATATAAGAAAATACAAAACACTTAAAGTAGCTAAAGGAACTAATTTTGTGTTGATTCTAGCGACCCCTTTAGACAAAAGTGGTAGTTTTTATAATGCCTCGTTTCACTGATTTCAAGGGGACTCTGACCCGTTGGCAGGCATTAAGAATAACTACATGGAAATAGCCAGTCTTCTCTGTGATGGTCAACCTTGCTTATGAAGGTCATATAGAGCCTTCAGTGTTAAACTGAGACTGTTTCATAACCAGTTCAAAACTCCATGGTACGTTTTTGGATACAACTTCATTTTAAATAATAAATAAAACTGCAAACGCAACCACGCTAATTTAACACTAAGTAACAGTAACAGTACTAATGAGCCTAATAATCTTAGAAAAGATCCCCATCATAGATAATGGAGATATTCTCTTCATCCCCAGGGCCAGGGACACCCACACTGCCGGCTCAGCATGGGGTCACAGAGGCAGTCAGCAGGCACTCTGCTTTCATGTGTTAACTGTGCGTCGGCAGATGGTTCCCCCTGTGCACATTGCATGATTTTAAACATTTGTTGCACATCTCACACACTGTTGCAATCCTTTCAAGCGAAATACAGCCACACTTTAAACCGTTTAGCTTGGCATTTTGTGCTTAAGGTAGCGACTAGCTAGTTGTAAGCTACCTGCTGCCATAGCTATGTAGAGAGAGGGCTGCGTTGTAATTTGGTTTGGTAGACACCGGGTTTTGGTACCCAACCCTGCTGCTTCCATTCTTTATGCTAAGCTAAGCTAACCATCTAACAATCAAACTCTCTGCAAGGAGGAGAGTATATGTATTTCCCAAAATGTCAAACTCTTCCTTTAAAACACTGCCAAGGTGGTTCTGTGCAAACAGGCCTGCTATTTTTTCTTCTGCTGCCACACGCTCCACAGATAATCGAGGAACATGTGGCATGAATTGGCTGCACCATGTGGCTGGTACAAAGCAACATTTTTGAGTTAAAATTTTGTTTTCCAGCAAATTCTTCTTTATTTTCTGTATAATTGCAGCAGATGTGTCCTTTCGTAGCTTCTTCACTTCTTTTACTGGAACTGATAAATGCAACAGCTGCTTGGATTACATTCACCCAACTGACAGCCACCTAACAGATATCACTGATTCATGCTCCGGCCTGCTGTGGTAAAAATGCTGCTTGCCTAGAATTGAGTGTAATTGTTTGGAGCTTGTATCCTTTGGGGGGTTTTACCTGGTGAAAGCTTGGCATGCTCTGTGCCAATCTAAAATTTCAGATTTACAGACAGACAGCTCTGCTGACATGGGTGTATTTGTTTGTTCTCCATAACGTGAACAGTTGCCTCGCTGACTCTTTTCATATCTGCCAATTTATGCTGAAGTAACACTATTAAGGTTTGCCTTTTAAGACCAATGGGGAAATAATTCCAACATGTCGGGCATCTTCTGGCACATGAAAAGCCCCCTCAAGACACTTGTCTCCTCACTAATATACAAAGCCAATACACGCTGTCAATTAGAAGTCCATTGTAGTGATTTGTATCTCTCAGCTGTAATAGAAGCTACTATCACCATGTCATTCAGCTGGAGAAACTCGTCACTTGGTTATCGTGGTCCGCCCTGCATTAAGCAGATGCAGTATACACTTGATCTTTCTTCAGTTTAAGCTGGCTCGTCTTGTCTCAAAGCCCTGACATGTAATGGTTAAAATGTTGCTTTGTTTAAGCATATTTGCCTCCCTGTTTTAGACCCAACCCTTTAATGAGAATCTGGCTAGAAGAGCAACCTTGAAAAACCACCAGAATAAAACCTTTACCTGTCAGTAAACCGTAACATGTTGTGTATCAGCGCACAACAATATATTCAGCTCAAGTCCATTTACTGACCAGAAAGAATAAAAACAACAGCCACCAAATCAAGATTCAACAGGCTTCCCCACACACTGGCCAGGCTGTTGGCACTAAACACACACAAATAGACGTTGAGCCAAGCTGCTAGTTGGAGCATCAGAGTATTCAAACTGGCAACAATGAAAAGCAATCAATCTGCAGGCAAAGACCTAAGTGTTTTGCCACTACTGTTTTTCTTTGTTGACCTGTTATGTTGCTTTTGTTACATCTAAAATGGCACTTGCCTCTGCTTGTAGCATAGAATACTGCCGGTAATCTGGCAACGCAGGTTTGTTTCTGCCACGTCATGCTGAAGCCAAATGATTGAAATTCAGATTAGGATATCTGTTGACCAGAAAGTTCTGTCATTAGTCAGCAAATTGAAGTTTCATTTTATAGTTTGAATTAATTTAGATTTAATTGGCCCGGAAAGGAAATGAGTGGCATGAAATATATTGAATAATAATTTGTGTTCCCAAACTGAATTATACTTGGTGATTGCTGAAAGCACTCAATGCTTTGTTTACTGGTTGTAGATGGAAGGCTACAGCTTGTACCTAGATGTTCTAAATATATCACTGGTTATATCATTCATCATATTTAGTTTGTTTACATTTATCTGATTTTTTAAATTTGTATTTACTTTAATTATTTTTTAATACATTTTAGTGGATACTTCCAGAAATGTCAGTAGATGCTCCTTTTACCTGGATCATAGCAGTATGTTTGTCATTTTTGTCTCCTTATTCTCCAGTATTCTTTATTTTTCTTCTTGTCCTCAAGAATCGAGACCAGAAGCATTAATGAGTTGATTCTATTAAGTATTATCTGTGTAGCCAAAGCCTGATATATAGTCTTCCTTTGTGCCGTAGCCACACTGTTACACTAGCTGACATGTTCCTTAATTACCATTAACACATGCACTTATTATACTGATTATATACTTATTCTCAATCCCGTCCTGCTGCCTGCTAAATGCTCTAAAGCACAGCCCAGCTGTTCTCGTAAATTACTGTGGCTTTTGAAAAATGAAACTATACATTTGTGGCCTGTTTTTATTTCTTTATATTTACATCTTCTGTAGGAATGAATGGGCTCAGGGCTTTTTTTGAAAGCATTCTGTACGATGCCTTTGAATGAGCTGTTTTTACCTACAGACGCCGTGGGTCACCTTACGTGTTTTTACAGTAGCCCAGAATGAACAAACCAAAAACTGGCTTTAGGTCGGGTCGTTTACATTTTGCATAAAGATAAAACAATGAGGAATCGTTGTGCATTTCATTGGCAGATTAATTAGATCTGGATTAGTTATGTGTATATTGTTGGAGAAGCAGCATGGTTTCCATAATGGTCAGCTATGACATACATGATTTATAATAAATGGTTCTGGTACTTTAAAATGAACACTGAAAGTTCATTTATGATGTTGGTAAGTTGAATTGTATTGCTTTTATGATCAGACAATAATGAATATATTGGACAGTAGTCATAGATAATAGTCATGGGGCCTCATGCTTTACTTGGGGCAAGAATTCAGGAAGCAGCTCAGTCATCAATCTCAGTTGTGGTATTATTTTATTGTAAATCTGTTTGGCCTGTCAGAAGAAATACATTGGTGTATGTTTTCACATAAATTCACTGAAACAAGATGACTAATGAGGAAAAGGCCAACTGCAACACTATGCTATGAGAGAATGGATGTGAGGAAATATAAAAATCTGCAGGCAGCCTGAAAGGGAGTGAAAAGTGATGATGATAACGGAATACAATTTTATATTCATGAAATATATTTTTCTTGATTCTGAGGGCTATTATTTGACCCACAGAGAAGACTTTCCTGTCTTGACAATCTACAATTGATCAAA